CTCTTCTTCGCTGGTTCTGTGGTTTGCGGGAGTTCTCCATTTGGAGACTCAACACAGTTTACTTCCACAGAACTTGATGCCTGGCAAGACACCAAGCCAGGTATATATTAAAGCAGAAATATAGGACACAATCCAATCGATACTTAGTAACAGCACTGTGAATGGTGCAATAAGGGGCATTTCTTCGCAAGCAGGACTGCCTGAGGCCACATGTGATGTCCTGATGTCCAAGGAGTGCCACCAGTCATCCTACCTTGTCCTGTCCCTTGTCAACAAACACTGCAACAGGCACGTCCTTCACTTCCTGCACCCTCCATGCTTCAGCCCCCCCCTCCGTTGATGTATCTTTTCCTCCCTGTTCACTCCGCGCACCAGCACTGTCCTCTAAAAAGCCAGTGGAAACAGGAGTCTTTTGTGCAGCTGGCTGGTGGTATGTCATAGCTGCAAGGGACAATGTGGGGGTTGAAGTCTTCACTCTTGCCTGCTTTGCACTCTTTCGAATACTGCCTGCTGTTGTTTCTGAATCTGATTGGGGTGCGGCCCACAACTGATGCAAGACTTTCCTTGGTGACCTGTCACAATCAATGCAGCTTCAACACGAATTCCCACTTACACACACAATAGTTAACTGGGAATTCTCGTGGGTGGAGTTTGCTTTCTATGAAAGCGCTTGAAAGACAAGCAAGGACTACACAGAAGGGATAAACTTTCCAAGTGTAGGAGTGGCAGAAGAACAATGAACTTCCAAGACCTTCAATAGTATACATCACTCTGGCAGCCGAACAATGCCTGAGCCAAGAGCAGAAGCACTACAAAGTTACTTTTCCTACTTGTTCATCTTGGAACTTCGAGTTGAGGAAACAACACAACAAAGACAGGACCGCCCCCATGTGCAAACAAATGAACAGGAAGCTGCAAGAGAAGGCAGGCGATGTCCATAATGCAACAACTAGTACCTGAACTTCTTCAACCGTTTCCTTTCTTCCCTCTCCCTCAAACGACTGATCTGGATAGCCTCTGGCTGTAGCCCATTTCGCCTCTGCCGCACCAACTGACTTCTGTTTCCGTTGCGTCGCAATGTCACTGCCTGAATCACATAAACGCGTGATGCAGTAAGTCTGCTTCTCACCAAGGAACTGGTATCTACCGTTCTGCATCCTCAGGTGTACATGAGAACGAGAATTGTGGGTCTGCACATTTCATGGAGCACATTGAGAAAACAGGTAGGGCCGTATGTCCAGCTGGACATGCGGCAGCTGCTGGAATACCACTTCCTGCAGTCCCCTGTGTAGTTAACACAGGGGAAATTCGGCATCCACCAAAGACTGAGCTGCATGGAAAGTGGCATACCCTGTCGATGATGCGCCCCGTCCCTGAAGCCAGAAGACAGTCATGTCGAGAGGCAGAGCGGCCGCGGCCAAATTCTGAAGCCATTGGTTCGATGAGCTTGAACAGGCCCAATTGCCTTCCCTGCACCCTGGAGTGCCTTCTGTTGTCTTTCAATGCCTCTGAGAACCACTGACCTCGTGGTGTTGTTGACTCCAAGGCTGTGGTGTCTGCCGAGCTCCCACAGGATACCAATGCCCCAGGTCTTGGTGACAGCTGTGCTCTGTGTATGGGCACCGGCTGGGACCCATGCAGCTATGGGGAAAAGCATTGGCATCAGCAATCGATTTTCAACCACAGGACCTCTCATGGGAGACTCAGATCGCCCGTGCAGGGTTCAAGGCACACACAAATAAAACTGGATCTCAATGCAGCACTTGGCACTCCCAGAGTGAGAGGATGCCTTCCGTGAAGACCAGGAACTGCAGCTGAGCTGAATGCTAGGCAGCCGGCTGAAAGCCATCCACTTGAATGGACAGTTGCAATGCACATGGCTGGAAAGGCAGTCTGAGCGCGGGACTTCAGTATGCTCGCTCCCTGATTACCGACTGGCATGTCATATGCCCTTATGCAGCACACTTTCGCCAGCAATCGATGACTCTCACGTAGGCATGGTGAGGAAAGCCCCCACTGAAATTAAGCACATGTGCCTGCTGAGTCGGCTATCAGTGGCTTGTGAAGATTGTTGTTTCAACAGAAACGGAAGCGTGTCAAGCAATGGGCACCCCCCGCTTGACAGCCACTTCTGGTAAGGCTCTATTCCACACATACCCAGATGATGCAGTGGTCTCCAAATGCAACACGGTTCGCAAAAGCGCAAGACAGGGGGGGGGTGCGCACTCGCGACAATGTGAAGCTCACCGTCAGTCGAGCGAAGATTGTTGCGCTGCGGTGCGGCAGGGGCAAGACAGGCAACAGATCCCGCCTGCGTGGAGCAACCGGCAAGAAGTCAATTTGGGGACAAATTCGGCAACGAAGTCAACCGTCAAGCATGCCCGCGCGGCGTCGACGCAAGACGAGCGCAAACTCCCCAGCGAGCACACAGTGAACCTACCCAAAGCAGCACAATCAGTTGAAGACTGCCTTGCAAGAGGGGCTGCTTGCTGCCCGCGCGGTGCGCCCACTGATCAAACCAACTACCAATATCATCGAGGCCCATTCCCGTGGCACCGCCCGTTTGACTGGCCCCACTCTCGGCAGCCGGCCACCTCCCCCCTCCGCCTCCGCAGACAAATCAAAGCAGGCAACAAGAAGCAAAGGAAGAGAGCCCCCACTGCCGTCACCTCGCAATGGGATTCCGCAGAAAGGCCGCGAACCCCAGGCGCCGCGCGCCGCGCGCGGCCCGGCTCCTTAACGCCATGGCGGGGTGGCGCCCCGCGACCCTGCAGGCCCTCCACGCCCCGCAGACCCTGCCGGAGGCCACGGTCACTGGTTCGGGACCAAGCTGCCCGCCACGCTCCCGAAATCGTGCAGACATTTTTCGCATCCTGGGGCGCAGACTCGGGGCCAGATCGACATGACCGCCGCCCGGCGAGCGCAGGGGCGTGCGCACGGCTGGGGCGGACTCTGCGGAGCCGCACGTCCGGCTCCGCTCTCCCGTGGAGCGCCGCTCGCCGCGCGTCTCCTCAGGCGGTCAAAAGCGCCCCGCGACCATCTCGAAATGGTGCACACAAGTACTTGGGGGGCCTGTCGTACAGCTGGGATTGGCGTCAGCCAGAGTGACCGCATTGGGATATCGCTGCGCAGGGGCCGTCCTGATATCGTCGAGGGCGCCACTGGAGCCGGCTGGCGTCTTCGGAGGTGGAGTGGCCGCGGCTGGAGCTGTCCATTTGTCGCCTGTGGAGGCGGGGCGAAATGTAGCTTCGCCGAAACCGCGCAGTGCGGGAGATGTGGAGCACAGAGGGAGATAGGGGCGCACGTGGTCGTCAGCTGCGCCGGCGACGATCGCCCAGCGGGTGAGTTGAGTTGGGACGCTGTTCTGGCGCCTGGGTCCCTGGCGCTCGGCAGTGAAAGCTCGTTGCGCGTGCCATGGATGAATCTGCGCAAGTGGCGGTTCCCTGCCGAACGGCGCGGATGTGGGGCTGCGTCGCTTGCGCCCCATTCGCCAGGGGGCGACTCGGCTGTGTTTCATTTCCGATGCACTGCAGTGGCTTCCGTCGGCTGTGCAGGTTGTCTCCGTCTGGTGGGTCAGTGGCCGATTGAGCGGGAGCTGAGACGGGAGGCGTGGTTGAGGCGTAGTGGATTGGACGCCTCCCCATGCTGGTGCGTTTGGAAGTTGAGCTGTGCGGGTGGTTGGACTCAGAAGTCGCCAATTCGTCCCAGCGCCCACCTGTGTCAGATTTCCCGGCCTTTAAGGCTTCATTGAAATGGTGGAGAGGATGGATATACGTGCACAGTGTGATCACACCTGCACTTCAAAAGGGTGATTGGATGTTGCCATGCAGACAATGTGACGTATACCGTGTTGTTCTGCTAAACTGCGATACTGAAACAGCTCCACACAGTAACGACCACTCGCATGTGTTCCTAATGGCCCTGAATTGGAGCCCTGAACCCCAATATCATCAAGAAATAGAGGAGTATGTGGCCACCATTCTTCTTGGGCCTTCCAGTGTGGCAATGGCACCTGACTGGCGGGCATGTTCCAATCGCCTCAAAACATCGCCCAGACAATACTCTGCAATAGTTGTGAGGGGAGAAAAGTGGTGCGGTGAGCAGCAGTGTACTTCTCACTGAATTCAACACTGACTTGAATGGAAATAGTCAGTAGCTGCTTCCATGGTACACAAGAGAACGTCATCTTGCAGCTCAGCACTGCTGACAGAACACTTGTGAACCTGTCCCAAACACCTATAATGCCCTTTATCATTCGCCTGCACAAGTTGAGGGATCGGACCGCACCAGTACAGAAAATCCACTGCCTTCGTTTCTGCTGGAGGACAAGAACAGTCCTTGCACATTTGAGGCAATGATGGGCATATTCTCAAGGATTGGAGCAGCTTTGAGGTCAGGTAAATGGCCTATTGCTACAAAGCCATCTGCATGTTCCCCAGTTAGAGGATGTCGTTGAGTTGCCCAAAGCCACCAAACGCCTAAGCAGAGCAGCCAACTGGGTGATGCAGGCAGAAGGCACTTGCTGGTTGGACTTGCTCAGCACCTAAGGCTGCTGATGGTGCTGCTTGAGGTTATCCTCAGAGGTGTAGGTTGCACAGAGTGCTCTCAGCACAGGCACGATACTCTGTACTGATTTATGTGACAATGCAAGGAGAGCAGGACAGCCCCATTCCAGCAGTCACAGAGGCCACTGTTGTTGCCCTCAGTGAAGCGCCACAGTCTGCAAGTAACCATGCTTGTATTGAGATTCCTTGCAGGGCTCCCACCTTTGTGTTCGTGTGCACAAACGGTGTAATTCCATCTTTTTCTTCAACAGTTGGACCCACTGTCGCAACCACATGGATGCTTGGGCAGGGGGAAAGGGGTGACGATTCAACTTGAGAATTGGGTTGTTGCAGCAGAGCTTGCAGCCCATAGGACGGCATGGACAAAATGCAGATTGTGGCTGCGACTCTGGCACAGGAGTGTCTGATGGCAATCAAATGCACAGAAGATGTTGTGCTTGACATCCCACTGTCAGGAGTGGCATGCATTGCACTCAGCCAAATCTATGCCGTCGCTTGCTTTGCATGGTGTGTTTTGGAACGTTCATTGGGAAATTCAGACGCTGCCAGTCAGACTGCAAGTCTTTGGCTATTCAAGTCCCCAGATGTGAATACACTTAATCCCTTCTGCCATATGCTGCTGTGCATTTGCAGCCAAAGTTGCCTGTGGGGACCCGAATCATCGTGGCGATGGCCGTTTGCAACAAAAATCCTGTTGGGCCTTTCCCTTGGCTCAGGGTTGCACCCTCCACTGTTGCGTTCGCATTGTCTTGGGGTGCCATCAGAAGTAAGCAGTCGTGAGCAAAAAGTTGCTCGCTTGCACTCCCTATTCAACATTGCGGAGATTTGGGAAGGGTCTGACAGTCGAGATGAGTTTCCCGGGTGAAGGATTGCCCTGAGCCCCAAAGAAAGCACTGTGGTGGTATTTGTGACGGGAATCTATGTTGGGGTGTTGCGTCTCGGTTTGTGCGCCTGGGTTTGTGCCCAGACTTGCTCGTTGCAATGCCGTGGTTTTAAATTGATGGCCGACCTTGCCTGTGATCCACCCACCTTTCCAGGCAATCACCAAGGCGGCAATTCGTTTCAACGAACCCCTGACCAACCTATCTCCCTGCTGGCGACGACCAGAGCTTTGAGGCCAGGAGTGCGGGTGGTGCCGCGTGCCGACAGCGCATTGGGCGGTGGGAAGTCCGCAACTACCGGCTCATTTTCCCTCTCATTTCCTCTCCCTTCCTTCCCAGTCGGCCAGCGCCCCTCGCTCGCCGTTGTACTACTCCTGGCCGACCCACATGGCAAGGGCACCCGGTTGCCCCCGTCCCACGCTGCCGCTTCTTGATCTCAGTACATTCCCCCCAACGGCAAATTGAAAAGTGAGGCCCCAGCGCCGCGAAGATCCCGCGAGTCTGAGCCGCCCACCAGTCACTCCCATGTCATACGACGCGCGCCCCTATCATCCTTTCCCAACGCTCTTTAACTCTCCCCGGAACGTAAGGACAGTTTTCCCGCCCCCCTTGGAACCCATTTCACCAGTTCTCGGGGCTTGCCCGACAAGGCCTCACACCCCCGGCGCGGCCCCTCCGCCCCCAGGGTCGTCGCGCACGCGGCTCAAGGCGCTCTTCGGACACCTCCTGGTGCGCCGGGAGTCCTCGATCCCGCCATCAAGCGACAAATCGTTTCCAAGGCCACCCCCGCCCGCTTGTTGGACAGGGTGCCCGCCTGTCCAGATTGGACCTGCGCGGTGCCGAGTCGTCGGTCCCCCGCCGCTGGGCGCCCGTTGTGTCCCCCGATCGCCCATCCGGGCAGCTTTGGAGAGCGTCCGCGTATTTTGGGGCGCGGGATTGCCGATCCCGTACGCGCATTGGCCCTCTGCGAGGGGCCGACCTTCCAGCCATCTTCGCCGCGATGGGCACCCTGCAGAGGCAGAGCTCGAAGGCCAGCTGGCTGGTGTTCGGCCGCTCGCGCTCGGCGCGCAGGTTGGACGCGGAGAGGCACGCGCACAGCGACGAGGACCGCGAGCCGTCCACGTCGGGATCGCCCATTGCGTTGGGCCGGCCTTCCCTGCCCGCGGTGCCCCCGGCATCGCCGCCGGCCGCGAGCCGCTCGCCGGCGGTGCCCCACACCTCCTCCATGTTCGTGGACACGCTCAAGGTAGGGGAAGGGGAGAGGAGGGGATATTCGTTGCAGGAGTCGCTTTCGCGAAGATCTCTGGGGCTGGAAACGGACTTTTGTTGCTGCACTGAGGGCACCGAATCTTGAAGAGCATCTGTCTTTTGGCGTCGATTGTTGCGCGGGGATCGCTCGGCTGGACGCCCAATGGAGCCACTGGAATTTTGGTTGCAGGGCACATACCTCGGGTCTCGGGCCCTCGGTTGTCGCATGTTACTGGGGGCGCGTGTTACGTTGTGGGCTTTTGTCCCCGTTTAGAGTTGCGGACGCTGATCTCGTGCGGCGGCTGCGGAAGCGATCTGTCCTGACTGTGTTCCTTCCGGCGGACAGGGGAAGACGTTTGTGAACCAGTACTTGATGATGAAGGACCTGGGCAAGGGGTCTCAGGGCAAAGTGAAGCTGTGCCTGAACACAGACGACAACCTCCTGTACGCTGTCAAGGTAGGCCTCGGCTTCTGGTTCCCTTTGGTTTCTTTTTATTACAACAGATGGACACTTGTACGAAGCAGAACACAAGTGAGGGGCGGTTGTTGATATTGCCAACGCTGGTTGTGCTGTGCTGTGCTCCTGCTGCCTTGAAGAGCTTGGACAGCTTGTTGCCTCAGAGTTTGATTGACGCGATGATCTGCCCATTGCGTCGTTGGCCGGCCATGATCTTGGTCAACGTCCAGGGAACCTGCTATGAACACACCAATCAGATAAATGTAGTGATTGTGTGAGCAAAAATGCTAGAACCAACCTTCCTCTGCACAAGGTTTTGCTGAGAGTACAGTACGGACTGGTTAATAGGCCATCATATTCACAGTGCATACATGTGCCTCAGTGACTGGCATTGTCCACCGTCTGTCCACAGTATGTGTTGTTGGCAGAGTGCCTACCCAGCCTAAGTGGGTGCAAGGCCACAGGAGATTGACAATCGACTCTGGAAGGGAATGGAACAGACAGGGTACTGGCACCAATTCAGTTGCAAGGCCTCAATGTTTGGATTCCGTCCACTGCAAGTTGGCGGGCTGCTGGAACTGGACGCAGGAGGGAATGGGTATTGAGCCAACCACTGGCTCTTATTTGTTCTGGTGCCATGTGATGTGCAGGTCATCAACAAACGAAAGTCGATGCGACAAATGAAGCTTGCGAAGAGAATTATGAGCAGCAAAGGAGATGCAGGAGATGACTTGATAAAAGAAATCGTTGTCATGAAGAAGCTGAAGCATGACAATGTTGTGAGATTGTATGAGGTAATAACAGGCATTCCTTTGCCTTGGCACTGGCTCATCAATGCCAGTTATGCATATCTGTCAACTGGGAGAAGCATTTGGCCTTGGTTTCCCTGGAGCATCTTTGGAGCATCTGCAGCTGCACCACAATTGTAGACGGCTGCACATGACATGCTGCAGGGCAGCAGCACTCACCAAGAGCAATGTCTGTGGATGTTGGAATTGAAGTTGTCTTCAAGCTGGAGGAACCCTGCAGTGAGTGTAGCTCACTGTTGGGCCTGTTGCTTGAGATGCATCAGCTATGCTGTCACCAAGATGCACTTTTGCCTATCGATTGCTTCCACTGTGTTCATTGTGAACCTTCTTGAACAAGCCAATGCCTTGCCCATCATCAGGTCATTGACGACCCCGCCGGCGAAAAGTTGTTGATGGTGATGGAGTATGTAGATGGTGGACCCTTGATGGAGGGCGGTGAGAACCAAACCACAATGAAGAGGGTCACAGAGGCAACAGCCAGGAAACACTTTCGGGACGTTCTGAAGGTGGGAATTCAGACTCCAAGTGATGATTTGCCCCACGATCGATCGTGTTTGCCAATAAGCAACAGGTAGTTTGCTGTGCCCTGGACAATGTCGGGCTCAGTTTTTGCTGTGGTGATAGGAGGGTGATGGTTATGCTGTTCTCCCTTAGTATTGCTGTGTGCAGCTTCCCTCTTCCGATGAGTTTGAGACTCTGTGGCAGTTGAGGGGTGGGCATTCTGTGGAGCTGTGCTTGTTTGGAAGCCTGGCATTTCAACATCCAATACTGACAACTGTGGCCCTCAGGCGTTGCAGCAACAACAGGCAGAATTGCATACATCGGATTGTCCCCAAAATGTTCATTTGTTGCATGTGTGGCTGTGGCTGTTGAAGGGTTTGAGTGATGGGTGTGCACATTCCAGGGCCTGGAGTACCTACACTCCCATGACATTGTGCATCGCGACTTGAAGCCAGAAAATCTGCTCCTGTCTTCCGATGGTCATGTGAAGATCAGTGACTTTGGCTCAGCAACGCTGTGCAAGGATGGTGTTGACACAATGGAGGATACCCTTGGCACACGTTCCTTTTTCGCTCCTGAGATGTGTGACGAGGGCGGAGCAGCGTATTCTGGAAAGAAGGCAGATATCTGGGCGCTGGGAGTGACTCTGTACATGTTCATATTTGGGCAAGTTCCATTCCAGGGGGAGAGCATACTGGATCTGTTCAATGCGATCAAATCCGAATCACTGCACTTTCCACCTGATGTCAAGGTGACACCTGGGTTGAAGGTACGTGCGCACATTTGCAATATAGTGTGATTTGTGGGTGTGACTGTGATGTCGAATTTGTTCATTTGTCCAAGTTTGCACTGTGCTGCACCTTTGTTGCCTTGTGGCTGTGTGAGGTCTTGCAGTTGGCTTCAGTGCTTGGCACCAGCGTGTTCCAGTATCCATGCACACCGCTCCCCCTCTTGTCCCACAACACCAAATGTGTTCACAACAACCCAGCATCGTGGCTTCTTCCTATGTAGCCTGCTGGGCATCAAAGGCTGCTGCTTTAGGAAAGTGTCCTGAAGAACAGGGTGAGTGTTTTCTATGGCAGCATGTCCCTGCTTGGAACATGGGGACAGCTCCCACACTGAACAAATGTTGAAAAGTATACCATTGATTGTTCTGTTGTAGTGTTAAGATGGTAGTTACTTGCAGATGAAAAAAACTCCACTTCTGTAGCAAGGTTAGCTTAAGAATTCCCTTTCCAGAGCGGTGAGACATGCAGCACATTGGCCTGGCAGATTCATGAAAGAGGAATTTGAGCACTGTCTGGGAGCAATAAGTGTGCCAGCAATCTTGCAGCACGCAGGGTTGGGATGCATGCAACGCAGTTCAGGTTGCATTGGAGAGCATTGAACAGCTATATATGCTGTTATGAGGAGCTGATGTTAGTTCTGCATATACCACTGTGAATCCAGCTTGGTTTTGCTGCTCTTGTGGCATCCACCAAACATAGCAAGCCCGGCACAAGCACATGAGAAACTGGTATGGGGGCTGACCACTGACACAATTTCACGTTAAAGCCCTGCGAAGAGGGAAACAATGAAGAACAGTGAAGTAAGGGAGTTCCTGGTGGCGATTGTTGGAAACTGAGGAACTGCCTGTGGGCGCCAGGACATTTTGCACAGTTTGCTGCACAAGGACCCTGCAAAGCGCTTGACGTTGGCAGGAGCAATGCAGCATGTTTGGACCACAGGCAGTGGCACTCTACAGCTCCTGCATCCCAGCGGTGTTCCCTTGCGGGACTTTAAGCTATCCAAAGAGGACAGAGCACGTGCGATGACGCCCAACATCGCCAGTGTGTTTTCTTGTCTGGCTGCCACCATGCAGACGTTCAGGAAAGGAGAGACCATTTTGAAAGAGGGTGAACCCAGCCTGGGGTTGTATTTGGTCAAGGTCAGTGATGGAGCAACAGCAATGGGAATGCTGCGGAGGCTTCGGATGTTCCATGGCACACACAGTTGTGCGGCTGCTGGAGTTTTGGGTTGTGGTGCCAGTTCTTTGCATGCTGCGATTCACTTGCCTTGCAACCAGATTGCCAATGTGCACCTGAATAGTCAAGCCAGTCCAGAAAAAGCCATGTAAGTGCCCACAATCTGCACCCTGAAATTGGGTTTTGTGCTTTGCAGCAAGGATTCTGTGCTGTGACCTCGATTTCAAGAATTGCGATGGAGAGGATGATCAGTGTTGATCCAGACTTTGAAGACAACCTGTCTGTTGACGATACGGAATCAGAGGGGTCTGCCGACATCGAAGAAGAGTCAGTAGAACTGATGCATGCGATTGATGCTGTTGGCTGGTCAAGCAAGACTGAGCCTGCAACAGGGTCCAGGGAAATGAACATGAAGTCCAACATGTTTGCGCATGGACGCAGCATGGACAGCACAGAGACGAATATTAGCACTCCCAAGTCCCAGGATTTTGGACCTATTGGATCCTTGGATAGGAAGCAGGTCCTTCGCTCAGTCCGCCGTCCGACCTTGATGCACAACCACATGGTAAAATTGGTGAGGGAATCGTTCAACGAACGGACTATTAACCACTCAGAAGATGGCCCTGAGTTGCCTGACTGTCGTGAGGCGATGTGCAGTCGGGGACCTGGTTCCATCCTGGGATTCATGGCTTTGACCCCAGGCAACCCAGAAAAGAACCATGAAACTGTTGTTGCTGAGACAGAAGTACGGGTCGCTTTTGTGGAGCATGAGGCTGTTCGAAAGTATTTCAAGGTGCGTCAGAAGTCCAAGAATGACAATACCTCCTTCTGTGAGACTGACCAGACTGGCATGCGCCTCTTGGCTAGGAAAAGGAATGGGGACTGAGCCTTAGAGCATTGTGTATGGATGGTGATTCTGTGCATCTTTGCTGCCGTGTGTGGTGTATTCAGTGAAGGCCAGTGTAGAAGCAGTTCCCTGGCCTAATCTGTACATGGCTGGCCTGTAGCGGGAAGGGTGCATATGCAAGACGACTGAAGAGGAGAACAAGAATGCAGCTACACGAGTGTGATATGAGGAGGAGTGTAGTTCGATTGCCTAACGTGTTGCTTGCCATTCATTAGTCACAAACTCTGTGTGCTTGATTGATGCCACTGCTCTCCGCTGCTTCTAAAGCAAGATGATGGTGGTTGATCGGGTTTTGCTTGCTTTGTGAAGTAACTGATGGAGTTGCCAGGTTGTGAGGGTGCGCTCTGGCCATTAAACTGCTAGAGTTGCCACATCGACAAGAGGACAAGGCACCAGTCATTTGAGCAGCAACTGAAGCTGTGGAAGAGATTGATGCCACCCACCTGTGAAGCATGCGGCAGCAAGGCGCCGCCGCATGCATAGTCTGGCGATTATGTGCCAGAAGCTAAGAGCTGCACCAGCACATGTATTGCATCTGACTGTCTACCTTGGAGAGCGTGCACGTGTTTCTTGGCTTACAAAACTTCATTGCTCGCTTTTTGCAGGGGCCTGACTCCCATCTGCAGGTGAAGCTGCTGATGGCAAGGCTGCAGAGGGTTGCCATGTTGCAGTCGACAAAGGATAGGTTTGGAAAGCTTCAAGGCGAGATGGAGCAAGTGGACAACCTCCGAAAACTCCACCGCTCTTCGGGTTCCTCTATGAACAGCCGCACTTCATCTGCTAGGAGCATGGCAAGCTGACACAGCGGATGTTACAGTGGTGGGTAGCCTGCCATCCATCTCTCTCAGTCAGCAGCACATGCCCATCTTTCTTCGCTACTTATCTTCTGGCAGGCATGGGTTCATGGTGACAGCCTATTGATGGTTTACAGTGCTGAATTTCGTTCGGCATTGTGCCTATGCACAGATTGTGGGAGGTCCTGCTTGGGGCACATAGCAGCATTCGCTGTTTGTCACAGGGGCGTCATTGTGCTGGCCACTTGGGGGTATGGACACTTTGTCCAAAGACAAAGGAGTTATGATAGGCGTTATTTGTCTCTTCCCGATTCTGTGCGCCGTGTCGTGGAACGCCTATATTCTTTTGGTCGAATGTAGAATACTGTCTTTAGCATAGTATGTGAAGTCTTGTAGTAGGGACCCATGGTGGTGACTGGACAAGCCTTAGGAGGGGTAGACACATACAGGTCATGTACTCAGCTTGTGCATAATTTAAGTGTGAAGCAGTTGCTTGGGGAGGTAAACTCTATTCCACTGACTGGAAGGACTGTTCCAAGCCCGGTGTGCAGCGGACAGTGGATGGACCGGTACTCAGTGAAACCAGCAAGATGATGGAGGGGCAGTCACAATCAGGGATGGCTGCCAAGTCCTTCCGCACAAGCCATTGCACTAGAGGCCCCATCGCACGTCGAAGGTACACACCCATGCTGTTCCAGCCAAAATTGGGCAGGCAAGGGGCCAAATCCCCACCAGGGGCCACAGAGCCTTATGTTGGTTTGCGTTGCCTGATCCATGCGTTTTCACTCCGCCACCACGGCGGCTCCCCCGCCTTTAGGGTGCTATGGACGTTTTCGATCCTTCACCTCTCGATGCAACATTAGCCACGTCCTCAAGACCACCCCTGTTCGTACAGGATTTGCAGGTCTCACAGATTTACCATTCCCCAGGCTTTCGCTGCTGCGTCCCGTTGCATCGCGTTACATCATCGCGTGCGTTTGGGCGCAGCTGTCAGAATACTGCTGGACGAACAGAGCACCACAGTCGCCACTGTGCTGGACAAACAGACAACCAAAATCACCACTTTGCTGCATCCGACGATGACACTTCCCAACGATCAACCGACCAGGTGGCAAATCCATCATCCCATTGTGGGGCTGCTTATGAGGTGGCCACCCGATACGTTTGCGGATTGTGTGGGGCCGGTGCACAACACACTGCCTGTGGTAGACAACAGGCAAACCACCCAGACACCGATACGCAAGCCTTTACTCCTGCTGTTGTCCCGCCGCCCTTCAAATGCCACAATCAATGCAATTTGAAAATGCCCGGTGGACATTGACGATTTCTTTCTGACGGGCACTCTTAACGACGCGGGAGTCCTGAGGCCAATGATGACACGGACTTCGTATCCATTCATTGCCATTCATGGCGTTGCATCGTTGGGAAAACCGGACTGGCCGCAAGCGAAATAGGCCCATCGCTTGGCGATCAAGAGCGCGGGGTGTAAACGCATCAGAGGCTGCACAGCGCCTGATCGGCGGGTAGTGAAGCCTTTTCAAAGTCTTACCGTCCGGCGACTTGCGTCCTGGGGTTGCCCTTCGGCCCCAGCACATTCCGCAAAGCCGCAAGAATGCCCGCGACAAATGGGACCCTCAGGGTTCCAGCTGGGTTCCCTACCCAATACACCGATGGGAGTCCCACACTGCACTATCAATGCGCTCATGGTAACATAATTGCCCACGTCCATGACGGCCCCGGGTGTCTATCTGTATCCTGCCCGTCGCAAGTGTTGTTGGGAACCCGGCTCACCTGTTTGCGCTTTGCTCCACACCCCAGGAGGGTTCGGGCCTCGGTCAAGCGTTCTTGCGCCCACGAACGCTGGCATGACTCCCGGGGCTCTCGTCCGCTGCTCCAGGGGAGCGACGCCATGGCAACTGCTGGCGGACAAGGTCACTGCCGAGACGTCACCGCTGCCTGGGACGTCGCTGAAAAGAAGCAAGCGCGGCTGTGCGCCTTCCCAATGCCGAACGTGCTGCGCCGCCCGTCGCTGACAGGGACCGACTGCCTGATGGCACGTTCAGGGGCTGCAGCTGGGGCATGGACCTCGATCGCGTGCCAATGCACAAGCAAGGTGGTGTCCCCATCGCGAGCTTGCGTCACACTGTTGCTTTTAGCCGTGATTATGCACTGTTTCCTCAAGTTTGAAAAGATCGTCGGTGGCAAAGGACTGATCTGCCACTGCTGTGCAGGCTGGCGGCCCCGAATGCGATTGATAGAGGATCGAGCGGCATGCGGCAAGCTGGACTGACTTCGAGACTGCCACAATGCCGGACGCGGTCGTCAGCAACAGTGTTGTGCAGTTCTACGAAATTCTCCTCGTTGGCGACACCAGAATGGCTCTACAGCAGGCATGGGATTGCCAGAAGAAACACCAGCTTTTGCGAAGATGTGTTAGCAATGCATAAAAGACATGCATGCTGATTCTGCTGACACAACGTTGTATGCGGAAAAGCAGCGTTTTGGGCTATGTTGAGCGTTTCACGATGGATGCTTTTTGCATTGAGGTGCTGTGTGCTTTTTGTCCCTGTTTAGTCAGGTTTGTGTGGCTTGCAGGTTGAAAGACAATGACAAGCAACTCAAGATCCTTGATGCATCTTGGTATCTTCCTCGGGAAGGTGATTCCACAAGAGCGGTGCAACTGTCGCTTCAAAGCCATCATACTCAACTGTAGTCATCGTTCAGAAATTTGTTGATCAGAATACCTGATCAGGATGAGAATGCATAGCATCATGGCATCGTCTTCTACAGGTGCAAAAGACCACTCAGTCCTCTCCGTGACAGCATCTGTGTGTGCATGTGTGTGCCAGGCCGCAATCCGCAGGAAGAGTACAGGAAAGAACGCATTCCCAGTGCCTTGTTCTTTGACATTGATGGAGTGGCAGAGGTGACATCGCTGCCTCACATGCTGCCTACTGCAACTGTATTTGGTGCAGTTGCAGCTGCCCTTGGTGTGACACCAGACACGTCAGTGATCGTTTATGATGGAATGGGTATATTCAGTGCTCCTAGAGTGTGGTGGATGTTCAAGACTTTTGGCCATGATAGGTAAGCATCGAGTCTGCACCACAGCTTGAAGGTTGAAAGCATGATAGTCAAACGAGTGTAAGGGAGAAACCTGCACTGATGCAAACTCCCAAGCATGGAATCAGCACAACATATGCCCTACATTTGAACAAGATATACTGGTTTGATGAACAGTACACTAACAAATGCCTATTCAGCCATCCAGCAAGACTTGCATTGCTGGTGCAGGACATTGTCCATGGCATGGCCAGTCACAGTGGGACAGATGCAGAGTGATTTTCAGTTGCCTGTAACACTAAATTCAATGTTACGATCGAGAGACTCTGTGATCGGGATGATGGTGACCATGGCATTTGTATCATGGTATAATTTCAGCCCTTTAACACTTGAAAGTATCAGCGTTGTTGCTCTGCATTCTTTTGATATACTATCATTTACTTCGTGAAGTATTTCTTTATGTGCACCCCACGATGTCTCCAGTGGGTGCTGGTTGGGCAGAACAATCTGCTGCCCAAGTTTCACCTGGAGGTGGCTTTCCACAGCATTGGACAATTCAGATGCATCAAATGGAGGCTATCCATGGCATAGTAGATGGTGTGTACCAGACGCTGAACTCCAGCACTAGAAATGTCTGAAACCTCCTCACATCAATGTCAGCCTGTTCCAGACATTGCAGCTTTCTGCAAGCGAAAGGTGACCAACATTGACACGAGACTTGTCCATGCACCTGTGCGAATCAGACCAAGAGTTCAGCTTCGTCCTGTGCCACAAAATTTATCCCAGATATGTCACTTGCAGACAAACTTGGTTCATTGTGTACTCGGCATGTCTGCATTCTTGCAGGGTGGCTGTACTGGATGGCGGTCTTCCAGCCTGGAAGGAACATGGCTTCCCCACAGACACTGAAGATGTTGGCCAGGATGCTGTGGGCCTGTCTGCCAGCACTGCCACTGCTGTGGCTGCTTCCATGCCTGCAGAAGACGATTACTATCCTGCAAAGTTGAATGTTGACCAGGTGCGAGAATTGTGCTGTGACATGGTCAAGTTGGGACAAGGGACTTTGGGCACTCAAGGATTCATTGCTATCAGTCCTCAGTTCAGGTGAGTCTGTGAGTGACCTAGATCCAATGTAGTTAAATCCTAGTCCACGCTCATTGAATGGAATACCTAGTCCAAATAGAGGCCCAATCCAGTCCAAATTAGGTTCGACCTAGTCCAGCAGTAGAGAACACAACTGTCTGATACCCTTCATTTTAGGAGGCGAAGGTCATGAAGGCTGTTTGAGTTTTTTTGTTTGTGGTTTTTAGGATATTCAGGTTTTAGAACTTAGGTTTTCCTTGTGTGTGGGCTCGAACCCGAATTTAGACTTGGTTGAGCCTCTACTGGGCGTGGACTAGATTGAACCTCTTTTTGGACAAGTTTAACCTCTACCCCCATTGCATTTTTCCATTCCGGCACAGCCGTGCAAGGCTCGGGGCCCACTCAGGACACCTTGGCCAGTCATCCTTGTGGACCCTGCGACCTGACTGTATTCCTACTGTGTGCAGGTTCGGAATTTAACTTCCATGCTGTCCAACTTGGAGAGCGCAAAGGAGCAGGTGGTGGATGCCAGGGGAGCAGGGCGATTCCAAGGGACAGAGCCTGAAGTGAGGCCGGGTGCAAGGAGTGGACACATACCTGGTGGGTTCTTTTAATGGAGTTCCACTGAGTAATGGCACCCTGACGTGCTTAACTGTGGAAAAAACGCAATGGCTACCAAGAAACCAAAGTAAAATTTGCAGAGAGATTATTCATGGCCTGTTAGCTTATGACTGTCAACGTTGTAAGCATATGTCTGTCAATGCTGTTAGCATATGTCTGTCTATTCTGTGCTCTGACATGGTGCTTTTGTGCAAAGGGAGTGTCAACCTTCCATACACAGCTGTGTTAAACAAGGGCCGTATGCTGCCACCTGCTGACCTTACGAAAGCGTTTACAGCTGCTGGAGTGGACCTTGAAAAGCCAGTGGTGATGTCCTGCGGCAGCGGAGTAACAGCTTGCGTTTTAGCTCTCGCTGCCGACCAGCTGGAGGCCAGAAAGGTGGGGCATGTACTTGTTGTTGCGGCAACTGAGCATGGCCTTGACCTTGTGTATCTGGGCCGCATGCCCAGCCATTTTCAGTCGAGACAGTCTTCTAATTTGGAAGCCAATAGAGAAATTTTCAGATCTACGAAGAGGCCAAGCAAGGAGGGCCAGCAGGAGTCCATAGTGGACAGATGGTGCAACATGCCGTTAACCGAAGAAGCAACTGCGATTATTAGCGTCTTTCAGATGCTTACTTTGTGCAGTCCTTCCCCTGAGTTCTTGCTTGCATCACTGCAGTAGCTCTGTTATGGTACAAGTTGGTGCTGAAATGGTGCGCCGTTGTGAGTCGTGATACAGGTCAGCTGGTGTTGACGACAGTCTTGTGCATGAGTCATTTGTATCCTGGACAGGGTCCAATTGAATGTGAACACATCGTCTGTTCTTTCAAACCTTAATCTTTTGTGTTGCGATTTCCCTCTGTGGTCGCTTCACGCAGTTGTGGTGTTGCACTGTGTTTGTAATTGGATGTAGGTGTCTGTCTACGATGGATCTTGGTCTGAGTGGGGTGGCCGAGATGATACCCCAGTTGCCACAGGTGTGTGAAATGTGGAGAATAACAGCAATAGCAGGAAATGCAGGTGGCGTTGTGAGAGCTAATCTGTCCAGGATGAAGCGGGATAAGATGCTGAACGGGATGCCGTTGGCCTTCGGGTGGCAGGGATATAGCTCCTGGTCTGCCAGCCAATAAAAGCCCCTTCGAATCTTTGGAAGAATACCACCGGCAACACCTGGAAGTTACGCTTTGCAAGACTGCCAGAACTCTTGATTTGGTTTCGACTAACTTTTTGCTGATAAAGGATTGATCAACACCGATTATGCGTGTGGTGGAGTCTCTACTTTGGTCACCTGATGTGCAAGTGGTGTTCATGCGGCAAAGCCGGCGAAATCAAGAAGTGCACTGAGCAGCAATCGTTTTGTTTGTGTACAAGGCGATATACACAAGAAGGCGTCCTATCCAAGGGGCGCATTGTTGGCCTAGAGCCCTGGGAAAACGCGCTGTCCCCTTGCCCAACACACAAATCTTTGTGTTCATTGGAGAACGCCCAACCATTCAAAGGGGCATGCAGCTATGGTGCACCCCAAATGCCCCTGCACTTCAAGAATACACATTGGTGTCCTTTCGCCTCAGCTTGAGCACCTTGGCCTTCAAGTCCTCGATCTGCTTAGCCTGCCGGTTGACCAATTGCACCAGCTGCTCCCTTTGCGCAATTTCGGCCCGTGTGTTGGCTTCTTGGTCGGCCAGTATGCGAGCTTGTGATGTGGTGAGCAATTTTTCTGTGTTCATCTGCAATCGGGTCAGATCCGATATCGTGTTCAGGCACCTCGTGTTGTCAGCGGTCGCCATCGCCAGCTCCTTTGTGCGTGCTGCGATTCGGCGATCCAAATCCTGCAGCTCTTTGGCATTCTTGATTTCCTGTGCCACAGTACCAAGAGATTGTGTTATCCAACGTGCTGTTCTATCCGTGTTTGGACCACGCTCTGGAGCGCATCACGGACGCAACTGAAACACTACAGTGATAGCTGTGGGCTGTCTGTGAGACAAGGATACGTGAACCCCATTTGAGAAAGGTATCCGCAACTGTTTGTACACGTGGGCATCACATCACTGCAGGACGCTTTCAGAGCGTGTGAGCGGTGGTTGTTATCACAGTGCTCCGACGATACTACGAACATGAGGAGATTGCTTGGGTTTCAGCGCGCTCACCTGGCGTTTGATTTGTTCCCTTAGGTCCTCCGTCCCGTGGTTGGACTGTACTTTGTCCACGAGGTCAATGTCGATGGTTTGGCCAAACTTCAACAGCTGCACGTCGTGCATGCGTTCCTCCAAATCCGCGATGTGCTGTTCCTTCAGTCGCTTGTCCCGCGTCATTTGGACGTAACCCTTGCGGAGCTCCTTCTGTTGCTTGCGCAGCTCCATGCGCTCGTTGTCAAGTTCCTATTCGTGCACTCAGGCGTTGTGCCCCCGCGAATCGAATTGAGTGAGTGCATTTCAATGCCAGGAGAACGTCGTGGTGACTCTCACGATTGATCCGCGATGTTAACAATGCTGACATGCTGCGACGGGCCACAAAGTCGGTTTTGCCCAATATCACCGTTTGTGAAATGTGCGGCACAAATACCAACGAATGGACTGTACTCCGATGATTTGTTTTCCTCAGACGATAGCGATGCATATAATTGGAATTTGCGTGAATCCATGTACTGGAGATGGCGTGAATGTAGCGATTGCTGTCCAAAGGGTCACAGCCAGCTCGCGTACAAACAGAGAGCTGAAGAGCCACAAGCTGATCACCACATACTCACGAACAATTGGCACTCTTGCAGGCTCACGTCCAAGGTGTGCACAATACATGTGAGCGCACGCACACACCAGTATATCACAGCTTGGGGACACAACTTGCGTACAATACGTCTCACGCAGTGTACGCAATGTGCATCATGGGGGTACGGACGGCGTGTGCTGAGTGTATTCTTGGTGATGTCACAACAGTAGCTCCCATAGGGCAAGATGCGAGCATTGCTCTTATTGTCGACCACCCTACAATGGGCCTCAGGTGGAGCAAACTCGTCACATATAGCAAAACACATATCTCTGCGGGGTCAAATCTTATCACCAACATGTGGGCACCGTATTAGCACGCGTGGCAATGCGCTCACATTTATGCGCTTCTTTAGCCGCTCCAGCCCATCCTTGCTGAAGACGAGTGCGGATGACAGATCTGTGGGCAGTTTGCCATCCAACAGATACTCGATCTGGCCGATGGACATCATGACCACCACGTCAATCTCATTCAGCTTCGCTTGCTTCTCTTTTTGAAACTCAATGATGCCCTGATTTATTGCGGACAAGGACTGCTCCATCAGCTTCAGCTTTTTGGCGTATTGCTCTTTCTGTTTCTTTATTTGTTCGACACCCTTCTGGAACTCCGCAAGCAGCTCCTCCTCGTCCAGGCGCTTCGCGCGCAGCTCGCAGACTTTTCCATACAGGTCCTGCGTTTGCACGGCGACATCTCAGTTTCTGTGAATCATGGGGGTATTAAGGGACATGGGCCTTAAGGGACATGGGTATTAAGGGACATGGGGGTAATTGCAGTGCGCCCGGGCTACATCGCGATCATCAGCTGTGTTAATCACATGCGTTCATTATAAAAAGCGAACCTTAAACGACAGTGCCTTTGGTTCCGAAAATTGGTGTTCTTATACGCGCTCAGTGGTATTCGCTGCGCTACAGGACATCGCAAGCTGCGCAGTCCATCCAGAAAGCGCAGGGCTGAAAGGAGGACTGAGGCATATTACATCAGGCCACGGTCACTTTCATTTCATTTGGGTGCAGGAGCCCAGGTATTGGAAGTCGCGCACTTACTTGCATCGCCCACGCACGTATCCTCGGGCCTTAGCGTCACTCACTAAATTACCGCGCTGACTACGACGGGGCAAGCTTTCCGTTTGCCGCAAATTGTTTTCGAATGTGAACGTGCTGAAATGCTGAAATGGCAAAATGCTGTGATCGTGAGGCAGAATGAAGCACACAGGGACCATGTCCGTGGAAGCCCAATGTTGTGTTTGGCGGGTTTCCGCCAGCGTGGTGGACCTGATCACACTCCTGTGGGCAGACTTCTTCCTCCTCGTCGTCGTCATCATCGTCTTCATCAAAATCGTCGTCGTCATCTTCCTCTTCACTGTCGTAATCATCATCGTCCTCGCCAATCATCCTCTTCTTTGACCTCTTAATTTTCTTGAAGAATATTTTGCACAAAGGCTCTCGAAACTGATTGTTTTCGGGAACCAACACATTAAAATCACCGACCACATCCTGGTGCCTGTCTACAAGAGCCTGCAGCTCCTCTTTCTTTTGTTCCAAACGCTCCTGGCACTCTGAGATCCTCTCCAGAACCTGAATGCAATGGCTGCAGGGAATTGTAAATAAGCTTGCCAAGCAATACCTCGCAACTATTGAAGGCAACAGCGGCCTGCCAACCAGCCCATGGCGATTGAGCGCACGAGACCCTCGCAGCGTTGAACCTTCCACACGCTCTGTACATAGGCCAACAGCGTCATCAACATGATGACTTGGCTTCAATGGGACGGACATACAGGAAATGTGCACATTGCCTTGCTTGCTAATTTGCGTTGTTGGACAGGTATGGGCGCAACGCTTATAGGAGATAATTTTCTTAACACCCCGCTCTCGTGATGATCACTGCTGTGGATCAACTAGCGATGAGATGCACTTTGGCCAACAATACATGTGAAGGTGTTTTGCATTGGCAACATGACTTCATAGGCTGGCGGCACATCCTAATGCAGCCACACGTGAAATGCCTGCTTGTGCACGTCCACATCATGTTTGCATTTCATGGGAATGCCAATAATCTAAACGTTGCAAGTTGGAGACGTGTATAACCGCTAAACCCCAAGCCCATCGCTTCGTGCTCTCTTTGGATTTGGCTTACCTCGTTTCGGTCGCCCATTTTCTCTTGCAGCTTGCCATTGATCACTTTTTCTCTTTTTTGGAATTCGTTGAGAAACATGAGCTCCTTGTGCATGACAACACGTCGCATCTCCGCGCATTTTATGTTGGCCTCGGTCCGGAACTTCTCTGAGCGCAGCTGGCGTAACTCCTTGTTGAATTGTGCCTTGATCTCTCCCACGCGCTTCAAAAGCTTGCTGCGCTCTAACTCGTGTTGCTTCCTTCGAAACAAATTGGCGGCAGTTTCATCCTCCGACGCTCGTATCCTTGATAGAATGCTCTTTATAGTATCTTCTGGTTGTTTCGTCTCCGCGGCCTTTGCCCCGTCTTGTTCGGTTTGGGGATTCTGTGGAATGGATCACAGCGTGACGTCGCTATACTCATTACATGATTCGGGATGTGTGGGTGGCGATAATGCAATGGAGTGATGAGGGGCTGGTCCTACCTTGGGATAGCGCCTTCAACCATCTCTATATTACCGAGCGTGTTTGATATTCGCCTACTACAGACGCATAGATTCAGCAAAGAAAACAGGTGATACAATTAGAGCTGCACCCACGGGGGATTTTGCTGCTGCAACACTGAACCGTGGCTGATCCCAGTAGAAACCGGCAAATGTTCAACGCGCCTCGCGTTTGCACCTAATAAGTGTGCTTCCGCAATTCGCAGATACAAAATGTCCCGACAAGAGCGCGATTCTAACCACATCAATGCAGTGAGCTGCTGCATCACCTCATGCGATGTCCCAAGAAATACGTGACACTTTTCTGGTTAATCGTTTTCTGCCATGTTTTAATTTTTTCCAACCCGATAAATCCCACCGATTATCCTAAAGTTTTCAATTAGTGTTCCAAACCACCTTCACCTTCCCCTTTGTGGTGTTTCCCATGCCGCCTCCGGAGAAGCCGCCGAAATTTGCTGCTTTCGATTCACCTTCCTTCCTGTGCAAGAATGCAGCGATATCGTCATCTGTCACATTATGGCGGTCCTCAGGGGTCTCCTCGGGCTTCAGTTCTGCGTCGAGGATTTCATCTAGGCATGCGACGGCAAAAGGAAACTTTTAGGACTTGTT